TATTTTACACTTACTGGTTTTTAAAATTACTTCCTGCATCTTTATTATTGTTTCCATTTTTGCAAATGAGGAAACTGTTTTAGAACATTCAAATGAATTTCCTAAGGACACTCAGATGAAACTGGTGAAATCAAGATGCATAAGATAACTGTATCATTCTCATTATTTTTTTTAAAGATTTATTGTATTTATTTGAAAGAGTTACAGAGAGCAGTATAGACAGAGAGAGAGGTCTTCCATCCACTGGTTCACTCCCCAGATGGCCACGATGGCCGGAGTTGTGCCAATCCAAAGCCATGAGCTTCTTCTGGGTCTCCCACATGGGCGCAGGGGCCCAAGCACTTGGGCCATCTTCCACTGCTTTCCCAGGCCACAGCAGAGAGCTGGATCAGAGGAGCAGCCAGGACTAGAACCAGCACCCATAAGGGATGCCGGTGCTTCAGGCTAGCACTTTAACCTGCTATGCCACAGCACCGGCCCCTCTCATTGGTTTTTAAATATCTACCTAAAGGGATGCTATCACCTTTTGCCTAGAAGCCTGTGGCTAAGTTTAAGGAAACCTACAAACTGCAATGCCACTGTTGGCACAAGAAATGATCAAACTTCGTATCACTCAAAGCCATCCTCGGTCTTCCTAGACATTTACTGAAGGCAGGGCTGATAGAAGACTGCTTTCGGACTTTTCTTATGTCTTTGGGAATCCTGCTTATTTTACTTTGAATAGAACTTTCACTGTAAAAGAAACTTAATTCATAGGGTGAGCCTAGGGGTTAAGATGTCACTGGGTAAACCTACATCCCATATCAGAGTGCCTGGGCTCAAGTCCAGACTCCTTCTTCATTCTAGTTCCCTGCTAATGTGCTGCCTGGTAGGCAGCGAGTGATAGTTCAAGTAGTTGGATCCCTGCTATTCACATGGGAGACCCAGACTGAATCCCTGGCTCCTGGCTTTGACCAGCCCTGTTGCAGGCATTTGGGGAGTAAACCAGCAGATAGGTGATATCTCCCCCACCCCCACTCCTATCTCTTTTTCTCTACCTCTGAAGCAAATAAATAAGAAATTTCTTTCACAAAAGAAAACTTGAAAGTATTTAAAGCAGAAGAAAGGAAAAAGTCACCCATAATCTTTGTTAGTTTTCAGGTTTCTTCTCCTGTGTGGAAGCGTTTTTCCCTCAAACAGATATAATCATGCTATCTATAAAACTGTTTCTATCATGCAAGCCATAGTTTTTCATTGTTGCATATACTTAGTAAACACTTTGATGCACATGGCCTTGTCTAGTATGTCCCTTACACTTGGAGGTTCAGGTTATTTCCCATTTGCCATATTACAATTCCTTTTGGGTTAGCATATTTGTGGGTAATGCTTTCTAGCTTGATTCCCAGGTATGCAATTACTAAGAGAGTGAGCGTTTTCAGGATGCACAACCACCAACTACCTAGGAGAGCACCTGATTCACTTTACCCTCCTCTGCTCTGGGTTTTAGCATTCGAAAAATATGTTCATATTTTCTAATTTTATAAGGAAGAAGGACTATATCGGTTGCTTTAGTTAACATTTATTTGGATAATAGAGTCTGGGTTTTTTCTTTGGAATGTTGACTATTTTAAATTTCCCTTTTCTAGTTCTTGACCACTAATAAGGATAATATGTATATTATCCTTCCAAATATCAGGCACATATATCCAGGCCTTTCAGCAATGAAAAGAGATTATTTCAGGACTAGGCATGAAGTTGCAGACAAAAAGAAGAGGAAATAAAGAAATAAAATAAGAAATAAGGAAATAAGAAATTCCTTCATAACATTGACATAAAAACTGTGAGAGCATAACTATGCTAATGCAAATGAGCTCTTGGCACTGAGAATTTTTGTTCTTGCTTGACTGAACCAGGAACTCTGTCTCTCTAATGACTCTTGGTGGGGATGTTGTGTCAAGAGGCATGATGACTGATACAGGTTGGAATCTCGGGAATCTGTTTGATCATTTACTAGCAGCAATACTGAGGTAGGCTGTTTCTGTGAGGGCAGGAACACAGTCTTCCCTTCTTACAGGGAATCCCACTTGTAATATGACTTTGTTGTTCTCCCTAAACAGTTTCTTTCCCCTCCCATCTAATCTGGGTAAAATCTGGGTTTGCGTTGATCAAAACAATAAAGTGATGGTACTTTTGGTCTTCTGACTCCTGACCTGAAGGACCCTGCAGCTCCCACTTTCATCTCCTTGCTCCTCAGAGACCACCATGTGAAGCAACCTGGGAGATTTGCTTCACGAATAAGAGACCATAGTGGGAGAGGGGGCCCACCAACAGCAGACTCTACCCTACCCAACTTAAGAGACCATGGTGGGAAAGGGGTCCTACCAACAGCAGACTCCAACCATATCTAACTCCTGTTGAACCACCAGATGACTTCACCTGCACCAAAGAAGTCGGGGCAGAGCAGCCAAAGAACTGACCAGGTGCACTCGACTGTATGAGTTGACCCAAAGAACTGTAGTCAATGAAATCATTGTTGTCTTAACAGCTAATTTTGGGGCCTTTTATGCAGTAATGAACAACTTAAAACAGGCTTCTTGAACAATTCACATAAATATAAACTCATTTTTAAAATCAGAATGATAAATTGCACCATTTGATTGTATCTTAAATAAGATACAGAACTGTAAGCATTTACAATAGTCTGAAGTGGTCAACAAACTATTTTATATTAAAGTGATAGTACTAACATTTAGTGGGTGGGAGGGACATTATGGGGGGGAAGCCATTGTAGTCCATAAACTGTACTTTGGAAATTTATATTCATTAAATAAAAGTTTAAAAAAATATTTAGCCAGATATGTCTGAAAAATTATAGCCTCCAGCACGCACTAGACACAGAATTCCTTCAGCTTCTGTCCAGGAGGTTTTATCTCTGTAAAACTCTCCCTGTAGGAAGCCATCACATATTCATTGCACTCTATCCAATTTGGGAAGGGCATTTCAGTGGGGGGTAAAGTGAAGCAACAGGTGTGAAGACAGTGTCACCCATTCATTCAGACTGTGCTGATGAATGAAATTGGAAGAGCAATCACTCTACATCAAGAACTCATTTGACCCTCTCATAAGGTTGGAAGAGCTGTGTCCTCAGAAGTCAAACGTATGAGTACCGGGCATCCCGGCAGAGCCAAAGAAGCTGGAAGTGTCAATGTAGTAAAACATGTTATAATTAGATCAGAGTTCTGGTCCTATTACAGATATTGCACAGTAAGGCTTTAACTCCAGTTAATAAAATTATATTGCATATTTAAAAATGACTATGTGGCAGGTTTTGAATATTCTTGCTACAAAGAAGTGGTAAATATTTGAGGTGATAGATATATATCTTGATTGGATCACTACATATGTATACAAGTATCTAAACATTCTACACCATAGAAGTATCACATTCTACACCATAAATATATATGATTACCATGTGTCAGTTAAAAACAAATCTTTTGAACTATTTTTTTTTTCACTCTGAGCACTGCCTTAGCTGCATCCCACCAAGTTGGCTATCTCACATTTTCACTGTGATTCAGTTTTAAATAGTTTCTAATTTCCCCCCTGTGATTTATTATTTGACCTATGGACTGAGAACTCTGTCCTCAATCTTGGACTTCTTAGGCTCAAGAACCATGAAAAATAAATTTTTGTTAATTAAGTTTTCAAAAAACACAAAGTTTTGGGAGTATCATCCCAGCTCATCTATTGGTCTCAAAATCTTTTTTCTGTATAATGATATCCTAACTCTGGCTGGCGCCGCAGCTCACTAGGCTAATCCTCTGCCTGCAGCGCCGGCACACCAGGTTCTAGTCCCAGTCAGGGCGCCAGATTCTGTCCTGGTTGCTCCTCTTCCAGGCCAGCTCTCTGCTGTGGCCCAGGAGTGCGGTGGAGGATGGCCCAAGTGCTTGGGCCCTGCACCCCATGGGAGACCAGGAGAAGCACCTGGCTCCTGCCTTTGGATCAGTGTGATGTGCCGGCCACAGCGCACCAGCCACGGCAGCCACTGGAGGGTGAACCAACAGCAAAAGGAAGACCTTTTTCTCTGTCTCTCTCACTGTCCACTCTACCTGTCAAAAAAAAAAAATATCCTAACTCTGATGTCTGTCTGGAAGATAGTGTATGCATACCATTACTAAAATTATCAAAATCCTGCAGGTTGTACTGATCCATTATAAATTCAGTTAGTAGTCCTGTATACTAGCCCTGAAAGATGAGAGGGTCAGGTTTGGTGATTCAAAGTTACATTTCGAGTTTTGATAAGACCCTAGATCAACCAGAACCATTTATTCATGAACTCACTTCTCCAAAATCCAACCCAGAGGGAGCCAGTGTTTCCTGAGGAAAGATTATTCCACAGAAATGAGATACGTATCCACTACTGGGAATATAACCCGTACATCTGAGGCATTTTCAGGTTACATCTTAACTTTTTAAAAATATTTATTTATTTGAGAGGCAGGGGGAGAGAGGGAGATAGAGGGAGGGAGGGAGGGAGGCAGAAGGAAAGGTGGAGGGAGAGGGAGGGAGGCAGAGAGGGAGGGAGAGGGAGGGGGAGAGAAGGGGAGGGGGAGGGAGAGAGGGGGGAGGGAGGGAGAGAGGGAAGGAAAGGAAGGAGAAAAGAAGAGAAGGAAAAAAGGGAGAGGGAGGGAGAGGGGCAGAGGAAGAAGGTAGAGAAGGAGCGAAGGGAGAAAGGGAGAGGCAGAGGCAGAGGGAGAGGGAGATCTTCCATCTTCTGGTTTACTCCCCAGACAGCCACAAAGACCATGGGTGGGCCTGAAGCCAGGAGCTAGGAACTCCATCTGGGTCTTCATGTGGGTGGCAGGGGCCCAAGTACTTGGTTCTGCCATCTCCTCAGGCACATTAGCAGGGAGCTGGATTGGAAGCAGCACAGCCAAGACTTGAGCTGGAACTCCTGACAGTGGCTTGATGTGCAGCACCACAGTTCCATCCCCAGGTCAGATCTGAACTCCCTGGTCTCAGGAGAGGCGCTGCCATTCCTTGCTTGCTTGGGATCCAGGCTGGAGGTTTCCTGAGCTGCAGAGTTTCTTACACAGCCTTTGCAGAGCTTCTTTAACCTCCTGGTTCCTGAGGCTGTAAATGAGCGGGTTTAACATAGGGGTAACCACTGTGTAGAAAATGGCAACCTGGCGATCCTGATGCAAGTCATAGCTAGAGGATGGTCGGAGATACATGCGAATCACAGAGCCATACAGGAGCAGCACAACCAGGATGTGGGAGCTGCAGGTGGAGAGAGATTTGCGCAGGGCAGCAACTGAGCGCATGCGAGCTATGGCAACACCAATGCGGGCGTAGGAACCCAAAATGAAGAAGAAGGGGCTGACCACCACAGCTATACCCTCAGTGAATATCAGCATTTCACTGACCATCGGTCGGGTGCAGGACAGCTGCAGCAGGGGAGTGATGTCGCAAAAGAAATGGGTGACTCGGTTGCCACAGAAGGTTAAGCGGGTGATGAGCATGGTATAAAGGAGGCTGTTGAGGCTGACAACCACCCATGAGGTCAATGTTATACGCAGACACAGGGGGTGGCTGACAATGGCAGAGTATCTTAAAGGGTCACAAATGGCAACATAGCGGTCATATGCCATGGCTGCCAGCAAGTGGCCTTCCATGCTTCCCACAGCCATAAAGAAGAACAACTGGATGATGCAGCAGTTATAGGAGATGGTGCGACTCACAGACAAGGTGTGCACCAGCATCTGAGGAACAGTGATGGTTGTCAGAGATATGTCAATGAAGGAAAGCTGGCCGAGAAGAAAATACATGGGGGTCTGAAGCCTGGGGTCTGAGCAAGCAACAGTCACCAAGAGAGCATTGCCCATAACTGCAACCAGGTACATGGTAAGGACAGTTCCAAAAATAATTGGCTGCATCTCTGGCCGGCTGGACAAGCCCAGTAGGATAAATTCAGTCACTTCCGTCCTGTTCCTAGTGGCCATCCTCCATGTCTGCTTCATCTGGACACAGGGAGGAGCGGAGTTGGAAAAGGAAAGAAGGAAGTCAAGGCGCAGTGAGACCCCAGAGTCTCTGCATCTCAGATGGGCCACCAGGGTGAGCATCCGGTCCTAACTTCAAGAAGAACAAAATATCAAGAGGCTCATTTTGTTCTTTGGCAGGGTTTTCTGGAATGAGAGTAGTGATTAATAGTATCACTGATTTATTCATGATGAATTCTCTTTTAATAATATTTATTTGAAAGAGTGACAGAGAAAAAGAGAGACACACAGAGGGAAACAGATCTTCCATCCACTGGTTCACTCCATAAATGGCTGCTATCCCTGGAACTGAGCCAGGACTCCATCTAGATCTCCCACACGGGAGTCAGGACCCCAAGCACTTGGGCCTTCATCTGCTGCTTTCTCAGGTGCGTTAGTAGGGAGCTGGATCAGAAGCATGACAGCTGGGACTCAGACTGATGCTCTGATTTGGGATGATGGCATCGTTAGCATCAGCTTAACCCACTGTGCCACAACACCAGCCCTATGATTAATATTTAATAAATAATATAATCTGCCAGTGGATGGGATTCTCACATTTTTTCAGTTAACATTTTCCCAACAAGCAGAATATCAGGTGTATCGAAGAGGTAACTTCTGAGGTTTCTGATAGAAATAAAGATACTTTTGGGGCTGACACTGTGGTATAGTAGGCTAAGCCTCCAGCTGTAGTGTTGGAATCCCATATGGGTGCGAGTTCTAGTCCCGGCTGTTCCTCCTCTGATCCAGCTCTCTGCTATGGCCTGGGAAAGCAGTGGAAGATGGCCCAAGTGCTTGGGACCCTGCACCCAAGAGGGAGACCTGGAAGAAGCTCCTGGCTCCTGGCTTCAGATCAGCCCAGCTCTGGCCATTGCAGCCATTTGGGGAATGAACCAGTGAATGAAAGACCTTTCTCTCTGTCTCCCTCTCTAACTCTATCAAATAAATAAATACCTGTCTTTCCCTCTCTAATTCTCTCTCAAATAAATATTTCAAGAAGATACTTTTATGAAATACTATATTTCTATATGAACACGAGGGAAATAATTTTAAAATAGTCGAGTATATGTTTCAGAGAGTATATAATTAAAGAGGGATCCATTACTCTAGGCTTGCCTACCTCCATGTTTAAACTCTATGTCTCTAAATAATATGCTGCTTTCTTATTCATCTATTTTTTATAGATTTAAGATTTTTTTGGCTCTCTATAAAAGATAGTTTTATCTTTATTACATTATTCCCACTCTTCTCTCCTTTCCCCAATTTTTGATTATTATTTTAGTTCTTTGGTGTACTTAGATCTATATTTCTTGTTCCACCAACTTTACACTCAACGTCTCTTCCCCTCCTTACCCTGTACCCTGACCAGACTTCTGAAAGCTGTACCGTCACTTGCATGTGGCCAAGGTTGAAGACACATAAATTCTGGCTTATCACCATGGTTAAGTCTTCCAGGTGAGAATGCAAGTCCGTAGAGAACCTTTGTGTGATTATACCTGAATGAACATTACCTACAGCAGAGCCACATGTGTGCCATGATCATCCAACCGTCCCATGCTCTATTCTACCATATTCTTCAGATTCAAAAAAAATAAGTGTTCTCTTCTAATACTTTATCAACTCTTCCAAATAACACTGCCTTCATAAGCCTTCTAATTTCTTTTATTTTTCTAATATAGAAGTACTATATATGCATGTAGACGTGTATGTTTGCATTTACAATATATATCTACACACATTAATGCATCTGCATACACATTTACCATCTGCACCACTAGGCCTTCTATGGCTTCCGTGACAGGAAGACTCCCAGCCTCCATGGTTCTCAGGCCTTGGTAGTCACATCTTTGTGCAATCTCCTCTTCTGGCATGTTTCTAACCAACAGAATACAGCAAAGCTGACTGGATGCCATAGCCATAATTAAGTTACAGGATCCTGTAACTTCCATCTCACTAGCAGGCTCTCTTCATTGCTTTCTTGGCTGACACGCCTTACAAAGCAAGTTGCCATGGTGTCAAGGTTCACAAAGCAATAAACTTCCTTGATCGTTGTATATATTAGCATTTTTCATGTTTCCCGTACACTTGATTGTGGTTTCCTTGTTTCTTATCATCTAATATTGTTGATGAGAAGCAAGTATGCTGCCAGTCTGATTACTGTTCTTTTTCAAGTATTTTTCTTCCTGGTATTGTTTTTTACACCATGGCAATTTATTAACAAAAAAAAAAAAACCATAATCAGGGAGTCCTGTTCACAGGCAGCAACCACAGTGACCTCCTTCCTGCAGGTGCTGTTGGAGGGGGTGGGGTGACACCCTCAATTGGCCGATTTTTATACCCACATGGGCAAGGGCTCTGCGAGCTGACTGGGCCCCTGGTCCAGGAGTCTTGGTCCTGTTTCCTGCTGTGGCCTGGAGTTTGATGTGTAGGGAAGTGACTCCCAGCTCCTTGCCCCTCTGGGATGCCCACCCTGGGCAGTCAACGTAGCAGCATAGGGCGAGGATTCATCTCCATCAGCCTTCACAAGTCACTCACAGGTGGTTTCCTTGCCAGAAAGATCAGTGACATGGATTAAGGTGTCACGGAAGGATGCAAAGGCGTGGCAGACACCAAAGACCTTCTCTCCTTCGCCCCGAGGCTCGAGGCTGATGGCCTGCCCTTTCTCCTTTCCCTTCCCTTGCAAGGTGCCATTTCTGCTCATCTCCACCCAACTCTGCTGGAAACACTGTCAATTTTTTTTTGAATCTGTGTTCCTAGCATCCTAAATTTTATAAAGACACTGCTGCATGTAGATTTTTATTTCACTATGGCTGTGATGTGCTAGGAGATCTTTGGAATCTGAAGACACATGCCCTCTTCAGCTCTGAGAAATCTGAGAAATTTTCTTCTGTAGTTTCTTATTTTCTACTTCAATTACCACCTCCCACAATTTTTTTCTAAAATTCTTTTTAACTGAATATTAAACTTCTTCAATTTATTTATCTGTTTTCTATCTCTCTATATTTCTAGTCTATGCTCTGGGATATTAGTAATCTATAGTTGATATTTCTTTGATTCTCAAAAAATTATATATGTAACATCATGAGTTCTTTACTGTTTCATTTACTCTTTTAAAATAATATCCTGTTCGGCAGGTGCCACGGCTCACTAGGCTAATCCTCCGCCTTGTGGCGCCAGCACACCGGGTTCTAGTCCCGGTCAGGGTGCCGGATTCTGTCCCGGTTGCCCCTCTTCCAGGCCAGCTCTCTGCTGTGGCCAGGGAGTGCAGTGGAGGATGGCCCAAGTCCTTGGGCCCTGCACCCCATGGGAGACCAGGATAAGTACCTGGCTCCTGCCATCGGATCAGCGCGGTGCACCGGCTGCAGCGCACTGGCCGCGGCGGCCATTGGAGGGTGAACCAACGGCAAAGGAAGACCTTTCTATCTGTCTCTCTCATTGTCCACTCTGCCTGTCAAAAAAAAAATAATAATATCCTGTTCTTGTTTTAAGAAAGCAGTTCTCTGAGAATACATATTTTATATTATCCCTTGTAATTTAAATGATTGGAATTTCTTTCAGAGTCACTTATTTAGTTTTTAAAATATTGCCTTTTCTCTTTGATATTCCTGGTTTGTCATATCTGGTGCCTTGGGCTTGCTTGTTCTAGGTAGTAAGCATACTTTCTTATGCTGTTGTTTTGTGTATATGAGTCCACACTATTCTCCATCAGGAACAAGGAAGCTAACTATCTGGCCATATGGGGCGCTAACCTTTATGTTACTTGTCCCAAACAAAATTGATGACCTTTCTCTCTGCGCTAATAATCAAGCTGATAGCTTTAATTCTTTCTCTTTCTCCCTTTTTGGGTGTTCTCAGAGTATCTTAGTGCTGCTTTCCTTCCATGTCTTAGGAACGCGTGGTCATGTCACATCTTCAAATGGTTCTCCTTCCTTTCCATGGAGGGGATTTCCCCCCTTATTCCTCTGTTGAGATCTCAGAGACACGGAGGAGCACACTTCTATTCAGTCTGGCTCTGGTTTCTATCACCACTATAGAAATTTAGTCAACAAAAGGGATTAGATAAATCATCCATTAATAAGGGGTATCTCCCCTGAATAGTGTTGAAAATACTAAATTGATTACCTTTTAGACTGCTGGTTAGCAGGTCAGACATCTGCGTTGTCTTTCATCACAAAGACACTCAGTTGATTAGGCTCTAGCACTCTTTTGGACCTGTCACAATTTCCTAAGGCACATCTAATCCCCTTTGTCATACATTTTCAGACCATCTTTAATGAGTGGATCACATCTATAAATATTAAAGCCAACTATTACGTATTGTTTCTCATAACAGCTTCTACAGCTCTAAATAAACCTTACTCTAATACCTTAAATGACAATTACATTGAACCTAACATAACAGGGAAATTACTCCTGTAATTACGTGGCAGGAACATACAAAGTGTCTCAGAGCATCAATGAGTAAGGATGGAATGATAAAGAAATAAAAAGGATAGCATACCAAACTCAGAATTCATAGATGCATGTTATCAAGCGCAATGCCATTTGACCCACCAGCTCCTGCTTGTTATTTTTAGCCCCTGTCTATACCTCTGGGAAACAGTGGCCTTTTTACCTTTTACTTGTTGAACATTTTGGCTAGTGGTGCATTAACCCCATGATTATAAAGCAAATTGAAATTATGTTATTGTAAAAATCAAAGAAAAAAAGGAAGGCAGGAAGGGGTATTGAGGGAGGGAAGGAAGTACGGTTATCAGAACTGTAGCTATGAAATCAGTTTTCTTTATATTAATAAAAATTAAAAAAATAAAAGTCCTCATATTGGAGAAAAAACATGGATATTAACCTGTGGAGGTGAAATAAAACTTTGACTTTTCAGAAAGGCATACTGACTGTATAGATAAAGAACCTTGAAATTATGTACAACTTTTGACTAAGGAATTAATTTGGGGGGAATTTAACTAATAAAATAACTAAGGATAACCATAGATGATTTGTACAGGAATATTCATTAAAGGATAATTCAAAGTAGCATACAACTTAGTTGTACAGTGATGTGAGACAAGGTCAATAAATTTCAGTACACTCACATAACAAATTATTTAGCCATCAGGAATAATGCTTTAGACCACATTTAAAGGTGTGATAAAATTAGTCATAGTATAAACCATACTTGAAAATGTGTAATAAAAAATGTGTAATACACATATGCAGGATGGTCATAGCTTATCAGACATGTATTAAAATGGCCAAAAAATATTAAAAATAATAATTTCTGGATATATAATTTATATAGTTTTAATTTATCCATATTTTGTGACCTACATTTTCTGAAATGAATTATAATTACAGCAATTATAATTTATAGTGAGGTTAAAGATTTAATGTAATAAAAAAGCAGATGAAAGAAAACAGTAAGGATGGCAATGTCCTCATCTACACTCTAAGGGGAAAGGCTAAAGCTAGGCTTTATTTGGGCTAGATACTTTCCATCTTTTCCAGAAGAGAAAGACAAAAATTATATCAAATTCAAAGAATGCATCAATTAGTAAGCCAGTAATCATTGTGGGATCCTAAAATAATAAATCATCTCAAATTAATAATCAAAACTCTGTTCTAAGGATATCTCTCTCAGTCTTTGTTTTTTTTTTTTTTTTTTAAACTCTAAAAATCAGACATGGAGCAGACACTTAAACATGAAGAAAACTTACATTGGCCAGTGTCTGCTCTTTGTCTCTAATTCTTCCTGGATGCTTCCCTGTGTCAGTGGGTATAGTTCGAACTGTAAGCTCTTGTGATACTACTACTCAAGGCAGAACCGCATACAGACGTTGACATGGATGTACAGATGAGGGTAAAAGAGAAAAAGAGATGGGAAGGAATAGAGATGGAGTAAGTCCCTTCCTGGAGGAAGGATGAGAGACAATGACCTCTGAAAAGGAAAATGCAGCATAAACAGGTTAATGATACATTATGAGGATGAGAACATAATAACACAGCGAGTCCATTTTCTTCCAAGCTAAGAAAAGTGGTATCACGAAGCTAATTGTATGCCACAGCGTATCAAGCAATGATAGTGCAAGTGTTGTTCGATTTCCTCAAGGATTAATTTTTGTACTTTCCCTATTTTCCAGTATCTCAACACCACTGTTATCAGAGCCTCAACTCTGGATCTCGTTCAGGCAACTTAGAGGTAGCAAGGACAGGTAGCCAGTGTCGGGGAAAGATGAAGAGAGAAGTTCTTTCAGGAGAGAGATGAAGATATGCACATGGTCAGCACTTGAATACCCCAAAACAATGAACTAAGTTTAAATGTGGAAGAGCAACAACAAAAGGAAGAATTCCTGGAAAGGGGCAGGTAAGTACCTCAGGATTTTCAGGTCCTACCTGCTGCTTCTGGGACGTCTAGGGTCGTGGAGGAGAGAGCTCTAGCGCCAAGCCCAACCCTGCTTACTCTTGACTTTCCTCGTTGATGGGAGTACCAGGGGACATACAGTGGGTCTCTACAGTTTTACTAATATCTGAGGATTAGGAATAAGACCTATTCAATGCCTTCATGATCCAAATTCCCCTTATAGTCTGTTCCCTCTCTTGGGTTAATAAAGCACACAGGTATAAATGAAAAGGTTCTTTTGTCTGGTCTCAGAAGATCTTCCAAACTCTCACATCATACATCAGGTTCTCTCTGCCACGTTTCATACATCTAAGAACCATGAAATGTCTCTCCATATCATCCCTTATTGCATGACTGTATCATCCATCTCAGCATTCATATTTTTGCTCAAAAATCTAGCTTTCCCTATTTACAGTGACAATACCTGCATCCTAGTGCTTCTCTTGACTGAGATACTTGTGCCTTATTCTATTCTTTGGTTTTCTTGGTGCCAACTTCACACTGTTTTCTATCAAATGACTGTAATCCATTATTTTTAATTCCCTTTCCATTTACTGTTAGGGCTGGGTATTGGCTTACTATCACCCATGCTCTGTATCTGCCATCAAATACCCAAGTTAGACCACCTGGGCAGAGCTGTGCTACCTCTTGCTCACATCATCCTAAAATCTAGGATCCCCTTTTTGTCACTTTCCACAAGAGTCTACAGCGCAGTTCATGAAGCAGGCTCACCTACACACACTCACTCTGGGACTCTACTAACCTCAGGAGGCTCCACTGTGCTCA